CTTCCTTCCTTCCTTCCTTCCTTCCTTCCTTCCTTCCTTCCTTCCTTCCTTCCTTCCTCTTCTCTCTCTCTCTCTCTCTCTTTCTTTTTCTTTCTTTCACTAATGCTTTGTAAAAAAACAAAACAAACTACCTCAAACTCTGTCTGGGTGACCTGGGGCTCCACTACATTCTAGATACCAAGTGGCTTTTTCTTTGGATTTCAGGGAATTCCCACACAAATTCCCTGCTAACATGCTAATGGAATGTGCCCCTTGGATTCTTGTGAAAACTGTTAGTCTAGAGGTGATTGTCTCATCCCTGCGCAGTGCCTTGGTCACCCAGCTGTTATAACTCCTTCAGCAAGTTTTGACCAGCTTCTTCCCAACTGCTTTTACATCTGATCTGGGACTAGATATCATGCCAAGTTTAGCCTTTCTACCCTGTGTTCTATAAGTGCGTCTCTGCACCGCCCTAAGAAATCCTGAGGTGTATTGTGTTCCAAATGTGGACTGATCTGTGAATGCATATAGTAGGATTTATATTCTTTTTGGTCTGAAGTATCTGTATCAGTGAATACTATTCAAGATTATTTAATCAGAAAGAGTGAGCAATTAAAGATGTCTACTGTGCCAACAGGAAAGGAGGTTATTTCAAGACTGCCTTCTTTGCTAATATTGATTGACCTTTAAGCCACCTGAAATCTCCAGCTCTGTCAAATAAGTGCTTGCTGAATCATATATAGGGTGGGGCAAAACTAGGTTTAAAGTCTGCTTCAGTTGAACTCGCTAGTTTGAGTCCATTGTTTGAACTATCTCTGGAACTCGATTCTGTTCTCCCGTGTATTAATCATCACTCCCACCTCTGTGTCAGCTGCAGGGTAGAAAAGATACTTTCCATATCTTTCTCTAAATCATTGATATCTATGCTGAATAGATCCTGTGCAATGAGAACATAATGGAAATAACAGCAACTGGAAAACAAAAACAACAATAACAGCTGACACATCCTGAGTGCTCTCTGCAAGCCAGTCACAGGGTGAAGGATTTCGTATCTTCACAGGGGTTTTCTCATTTTTACCTCTACAACAAATCTACAAATTGATATTATTTTTAGCAACTATTATTATCTGTATTTTACAGATGAAGAAACTGTGGCTCAGAGAGGTTTAAGTAACGTGGGTAATGTGGTCACCCAGCCAGTAAGTGAACGTTCTGTCAGTGTCCTGGCATCACAGTGCATCTGAGCCTGGAAAACCGGCCAGTTTTTTCCTGCCTTTCTGAATGAAGGGCTTTCTCCTATTCTAATAGAGCAAGTAAGACAAGATGAGGGATAATTACTTCTCTCTTTCATCTAATAATATGTGCCTGTACTCTGAGTTATTGGGCTTATCGTTTCCCTGTTTTTCTTCCCCAGACATGACCACAAGTCCCCCTAGTGTTTTGCCGTGTGTTGGTTTATTCTGGGCCTTCGCCTTTCAGACACTGTTCTAGGAGTTTCATCTCTCTTTTGTACCCTTTTCCTCTTGTGCAGATGTCCATGCAAAATTTAATCTCATGGGAGGCCCAGTGAGCATCTTTGGCTTTTGAGAGGCCTCTCACCCTTTTCCTCCTAGCCTCCAAAAGTGATCAAAGATCATGAGATGGAAATGTCATTTTTAAAACCTCTCATCTCTTTTGAGCAAAAGTTCTTTAAAGAGATCTGGACTCTCTCTCTGAAAGCTTCTTTCCTAAAATCTAGGCTAAGTAGAACTGATTCTGCTCCTCTTGTGTCATTAAAAATGAGAAGGTAAGTTTTTCATCTTCTCTCCAAGTTCCTCAGATTTTTGCTTTTGAAACTTATTTTTCCTTCTTTCATATTAAGACCAAAATGGAATATTTCTTTATTTTTGCTTCTACATTTAGAAGGGTGGGTGAAAATACAAAATATTTTATTATAAGAAACATCTTAATAATGGTTTTAAGAGAATATGATTCGGTGTATTGACAATGTTTTTTATCTTCTTTTGTGCCGGCTTTTCATATCCATTTCTCATCAAACAGCTTAAATGCTGTGGTTTGATCCATGGACCTTCTGACTGGGGAGATAACTTTCAACAGTATTATCAGTCATGTGAATGTCCAGATAATTCAGAATCTCCTTGTATGACGTATGAAGGAAAAAATGTTTACAAAACGGTAAGAACAAATCAAACTTGGCATAGTAAGTGGTTCTGTTCATTTTTTTCACAGTGGAAGTCTTCACAAAAATTTAATTTGCAGAGATTATAATGGGAATCATGATATAAAAGTCCTAGGAATTTCCCAAATAAAAAAGAAATCCTTATTTAAAGATAAAAGCCAATATAAAAAGATGAAAGTACTTCATTTCTTCTATGAGTCTGGTATCATTTAAACTCAGCTCTAAAAGATCAAAGAATATTCTTCCGCAAGGGGAGGCAAAGCACAAACTCACAGATAAAGTTTATTTTGCCGTCTCTTTGGTGACTTTAATCATTATTCCCCTCCATGTTTGTTTTTCTATTTTTAACGTAAGTTCTAGAAATCTGTATTTTAATTTTAAAAGTAAAGCTTTCTTTTCTAGTCAATGATTCCTTTCCTCAAGCAATTGTGTAGGCCTACAGAAAGGACCTGGCCTTTAGGGGGTTCAGCTCTGCCTGTGAAGTTGACTTACTAATCTGTTTAATTAGTGCTCCAATTTAAAAGTTGCCTCAGATGTTTAAAGTCAGTTGGAAAAACTGGGTTTATATTTTAAGTGCTGTAGATGTCGTATTTCTTTATGTCACTTGTGGATGTCAACATGTGCATGTCGTATTTCTTATTGCTTAATTCATCAACTATTTATTGACCATTTCCTATGTGCCAGACCTCCTCCCAGCCACTGGAGATCAATTCCTGATCAGGGCACAGTGTCTGCGCTCGTGGAGCCAACGCTCAGATAAGGAAGAGAGAAAGCTAATGAGGCAACTTCAGTTTAATGAACTATTGATATTTCTTGGATAGGAACAGGCTCAGGTGGGGCCCCATCTAACTCAGTTTTCAGGGTTCAAGCTGTGACTTCCTAGAAGACACATTATCTGTCTGTTACCACAGGGTTTTGTATAATTTGTTCCTTCTGCCTGAAAGGAATGTGTACAAAAATGAGAATTAATATTAATGATGTTAATGTTTCATTTATTTGATGTTATAACTTCAGTGCCCACCGTGTGTCAGACAGACCCTCACCAGACTCAGACACTCTTCTGGGTCCTCTGGAGATTATAGCCTAGTAGGGAGAGAGACTATAACAGTTATTATAATTCAATAAATTAATTTCTGTAATACCTTAAGATATTTTCAATCTAGCATTGGCTTAGTAATGGCTAGTGAGGTTAATTATATATTAAGACATAGAAAGTGTCTCAGGAGAAACATCTCTCCTGCTGGCTATCACATCCCTTGTACTGACCTTATCACAATCAACAAGACTGTTCGGAAAGGGAATTGCTGCTACTAGTATTTAAAGTAACACGTGGGGAAGAAGTTATTTATCAGACTACAGAGTAATATCAGAAACAAAAATTTATTCTTACTTTTTGTATTCCTCCCTACCTAACGTTAGTGACGCGATATCCACAAGGAAGAGGGAAATGAGTATGGTGTAAGCAGATGTAGTTTCCGCTTAGGGCAACGAGGAACATAGTAAATTCAATTGCAGATTGCTGTGTCCTGTTAAAGATTCCACACAAAGATGTTTTTCCTCCGGATACATTTTGAAAAGCCCTAGCATTATCCTCAAAAATAATAGACATTCCCTCCACATTCACACATAATTCAGCTGAATACAGGCTGATAGCTGCACCAGTTTCCCAAAAGGATGGTCATAAATTCATAAAATGCTTCCATCTGCCTTGTGTCGTTTGCAAGAAGTCTGGAAAAAGAAGAAATCTGAAATGGCCATAATTTGCCCCCCCCCCCCTTTGCCAAGATAAGCTGGTTTTCTAGAGGGGAAGGCGGAGAAAACTCAAGCATAACAAATATGACTCAGTAGATCATTAATCTCATAGTTAACCCTAAATACTGTAATCATTTCTTCTAATGTTTACCACTTAGGATCAGATGAAAATGAAGAAACCCATTCAGGAATTAAGGGAAAAAGCCTATGGAGAACTTACATTTTATTTAACAAATAGCAGTATTTTGTTAGCCCTTTGCACATATAAGATTATCATGGGGATGATATATTTTCTGGCAATACAGATAATAGAACTATTACATTGTGTAGTATGTTTCATTTTAAAAATTATTCATATAATTTATGATTTGGGGGATTTTTAGGTTGGTTGGAAATGTTTTAAGCTTGGAATTATATGCTGGTTTGAGTAAATTTAAAAAGGAATGTAGTAGAGAGGAAACTTCCCTAATTCTCTTTTATATCTAAATTAAGGACATAATAGTGGACATATGATTTTTTAAGGTAAAAATAAACCTGATAAGTATTAGAAAGGGAATTTTGAAAAACCTTTTTTAAACATGAGAATTTTCACTATAGTTAGCTGAAACCCCAACCAGGGAGCTCTGCTGCAGATTACAAACCTAAATATACACACAGTCAATGTGATAACAGCTCTAAAATTGTAAGTGGAGATAAAGTTATTATTTATAACTAGAAATCCCTAGATTCAGCAATGACATAGTGGAAGCAAAATTTTTCTCCTCAAGTGCTTTCTAGTATATGAACAAACCACAACCATTACAACCTTTCAGAGAGAAGAGGAGCTTAAAGTAGAGGGAATAATCCAGTTCCTTTTTGTTGAGTGTGTTTCTTGGTAACAATGTTAAAAATCAACCTAATGAAAAAAAATCTTAATTCAGATAAGGTAGTCAAAATGTGATTAAAGGTAACTTTTTATGTTTTGCTTTTTTAACAGTCATGCTTTACTCTTATAAAAGACTTAGTTAAAAAACATATTGCCATAATCATTGGAGTAGCGTTTGGACTGACACTTGTTGAGGTACAGTATAATCTTTTATTATTGACTCTTTATTTATTCCCTCACTTATCTATTCATTCTTCTAACGCATATTTATGGTGAGCCAAGTAAAAACCAGGTGCTTCAGAAAGGCACTGGGTACCAAGTACCAAGGGCCAGCATCTCCCTCTGTCAACCTTGGGTCTGGGCAGGGGATTACAATCGTATGACAGGGCTAAGCCTATTATTTCTGAATGATTTCTGAATTAATTTCCACGTAGTTCTTAGTCCCAGATATCTTTTTCCCATTGAAAAACTTATACAAGAGTTGAAGTTAGAAGAAAGTGCTCCAGACAAATCCAAAACAGAACCTTTACAGTTTCTTATTTCTCCTCCTGATTTTGAAACAAAAAATAAAAACTGAACTCAAGAGTATGGGAAGCTGTTTTCCTGCAATTCCATTCTAGAGAAATCTAACAAGTTTCAAAAACTCAAAACAGTTGCCTTTGATTTTCTCACTGTGAGGACTATGGCCCCACTCGAAGTTTTTAAGGAAGCTCTTCTCAGGGTTTATGTGTTTACTCTTATCAATTTGATTATTGATGTTGAAAGAAAAATCCTGTGTAGGATTTTTATCTTGGCCTTCTTGGCATTTTTTTTTTAATAGAAGAATAGGAAGGATACTTTTTACACAGCCTAAAAATCTTTGCCAGAAAGATGAAATAAAACTATTTAGAGAAGCATTTTTGGAATCATCCTAGCTCTTGGTTAATTTGGATATCAAGTGAATCAAATTCACTCGCATCCTGTTCAGGGCATGGGCAAGAGTCCTAACTATGTGTGGGATGTCTCTGTGGCTAATGCCTCTGAGGCCTGGTGAGCTCAGCGGAGTGGCCGCTGCTTCACTCTCATGGAGAGCTGTGCAACGTCTTCCTTGGGATTTCTGGTAGCTTTTCCCCTCTTACTTGTGGCACATTACTGCCAGGAAGGAATTTTAGCTGGGATTGAAGCAATTTAGTGTTCTAAGTGGTCATTTCGGTTACTGGCGAATTTCCCTTCCAACTATTAGAAAAAGGGTGGGGACAATTAGCAGTAAATTGGGATATTGAGTATACTTCCTGGTAGCCCAGAATAGGTCTAAATATGACCTATTCTCTGCTGGAAACATGACTGTCTTTCTTTACATCTGATATATGATCAAAGTTGAATGGTGCTGTGTATTAAGTCTAGTTCTCTCAGTTCTGCCTTTTGTGAAATGTTCTTTATTTCTCTGCTTTGTATTCTGGATTAATGCTAATTTAGAAATATGAGATAGTGACCATAGAAGTGAGTGAGGAATCACATGCACATATACTCACACATTTATAAACACAAGTCACACACCATCCAGCCATGTTGCTAGAGTAGACTTTGAATGATTGAAAGAGCAGGCTTTAAATGAAGTATTCAATGCAAGTGTCAATATAAGTGTCAAATTCCATGTTAGACTCAAATTGACTATGACTGGCTACAACTCACAGTTGCTCTTAAGAAGCTTCTCAAAAGGAAAGCCAGAGAAAATAAGGGCATAATCAACGGGGGAGATTGATATCTCTCATATCATGGTCAAAGGCATTACCAAGAATCTAAATATACCTAATGGCAAGTCAGACTGCAAGAGGAGTAACAGTCTATGAAACTGACTGAAGTATCCATGTGTTTGTTACGTATTTGGATATCTTATTGGTTACTCTAAAATATGATTAGGGAAATACTTTAATAAAAACCCTTTTTATAAGTATGGAATTTATATATGTTACTATCATAAAATATAACATTTTTTTAGTTATGCCAGTCAGTGTGATTTCTAGACTGTATGTAGATATGGTAGTTGTTTTAAAGAACTGTAGCTTTGAAAATTGTCTCCTGATATTCAATCTATAAAAATGTATCCAAAATATGTACATTAGTCTGTTCTATAGTCATTAATCTTAGTTGCCTAACACTTGGGCTCATTTCTAAGGCTTAATACTTAGGCCTCGTTTTCCAAGGTCAAATTTAAGAAAACACAAAGACTCATAGAGAAAAAAATCTCTCTAATAAATATTTTTAAGAATGAAACGGGAAAATATCTCCATGCAGAAAATATATTCAAGCTATCTCCATTAAAAAATCATATAAAAAAAATTACCCTCTGACATTTAGACCTTTGGCATTAGTCTGTTTAGGCATAGGCTCTGACGGAGTGGGCCAATAGTTATTTTCAAGGCTGTTAAGGCCACATACCTGAGGGATTCTCTTAGATAGGATGTCATGAAACTATATAAAATGCTTTCTTTTGTAAGAAAATTTTATGTTTAGACAGTCTTAGAATTCTCTTTATTCCAAGTTAAATAATCAGACTCTCCCATCTCTCCTTATTTGGCTACAGCAACTTACAGGGCACAAAAAATGATCAGCACTTTCTCTTGTCATTTCAACTAAGGAAAAGCACTGACACTAATAGTCATCACTTTGTAGGATAAAAGTTATCCTGACAGAAGGTCCCAAGAATAGCAAAGATAAAGAGAGAAAAATGATAATTCTACATTTTTTAGCCTTCTCCAGAATATGGGAACTGATGCACATCCTAGCAAGTTTATCCTGAGTCTTTGCATACCTTACCACACAATGGGTCTTTTTCCAATTACTTGCTATCTTTATGAACAATGATATATTTTCTTCCAGAGGCTGTGAGATGCAAGAAAGTGGAATATTAGCTGTCTAGTCTGGTGCTAAATGGCGGGCTTCTATTCCAAGAATGTGACAGTGAAAGATGATAGTTACCTTACCCCAGCATTTTGCCCATGTATTCTTTCCTGATACCTGTCTCCTAGACTTGAGGCTTGGGACCCAGGCAAAAAGACTAAATTTCAAGGCTTTTTGAAGTCATTGTAAAAGAATGCCTTTGAGAATGCTCTGAATGAAAGTCATTTTTGCAGAGAGTTGGTGTCTACCTTTTGTTTGTTTGTTTAAGAAGACATACATTGGGCAGAGGTCCTCATTTGAAATGCATTTTCAGGAAGGAATTCTTAAGCAGGCCGGCTCAGTGCAGGAGGGGCCCTTGGATGACTCAGCATAGGGGGCGGCTCTCCCTCCTCCTGCTTCCCCTCGAAGCCCCCCCCCCCCC